TCTGTCCGGTGGGGGATCACAGAGGTTGTGGTTTGGTTGAACGTACAATTCAAACAATAAAAAGAAGACTGGGAGTGATGATGCTCGATGGAAATAATAAATCAGTCAAATTATGCCTCAGCATTATAATGAGAGACTTACGGTGGAACAAGCAGAAAACAATTCAAGTATCTCCGTTCCAAGCACATTTCGGCAGACTACCAAAAACAGAATTTAAAATTGTGAGGGATAAATTTTTAAATAATTCTGATTCTTTAGACAAACAACACTTGGAACGCTCAGCACTGACTGCTTCTCAAATGAAACGAAGAATTGATCAGTCGAGAGAGAATCTAAAGATAGTGCGCAAGGGACAACTGAGCAGGGATACAAGCCCACTGCACAAGCAGCAGATAACATCGGACAGAGACAAAGAAAGAGCCAAAGCCCTAAAGGAATTGTTGGAAGCGAACGCCCGCTGGAACTACGAAAGAAGGGACGCGGCTAAAAATGACATCCGGAAATTAGTGGACGAGACAGGGCAACTCAATCCCGATCTCCGAAAGGAAATGATCTACTCTTGGGAGAAGGGATTTGTGGAGGACAAAATAGAAAACCAATGCAAGTCACCAACCAAGACTATACTTCGAAAGGACCCTCTCCGGAAAAGCGGACAAGCCTTAACCAGACCACTAAAGGGGAAAATCGTTTCAGAAACGGACTCAACAATTAGGACATCAGCCGGTTCGATCTATAGGAAATCGGATATAGCTCAATCAAAAACGGTACTGACGCAAGAAAACCAGCGAAGCACGAGTAAAAGTCCATCGCCAGAACCTACCAAAAAGTTTAAGCGAGTCAGCTCTCCAGAACGACTAGAGGAGCTGGGATCAGAGGACGAACTTCAAGGAGAAATGGAAATCGCTGATACAATGAATCCAATAGAGCGCTTTCAGAGGAGCCAAACAATAGTCACTTCAAAGGACACAGAAGCCGGGGGAGGCCTGAATCTTGCAGTCAAAAGAGCAAAACCCAATTTGGCGGGACCAAAACCAAATACAGAGGAAAATATCACAAACAAGCCGGAAAAGAGCGGAAAGGAAAAGAAAGGCCGAAGCAAGAAACAACAGGGGACAAATCAAGCTGCGACTGCAGCAAACTCGGAGCAAGAGCAAGCAACATCTAAGCCGGAATCAGACACAGTAGATACCAAAATTCAGTCAAGTTCTACGCCGAAAGCAAAACAGCGTCCGAAACTGAAAGGCATTCACTCTCACACTCCTCTTGAAGATATCGTGGACACATTTCACAATCGAAATTTGGCACCGTCTGAATGGGAGAAGTACGCGGACCAATTGTTAAAAAGAGGAGTGCAGCGAGTTGCGGATGAACTTCGAGAAAATCCTCAACAAAGCTCGGAACTGGACACAAACTTCGAACCACCACAAGGATTCTCGGACGAATCAAGTGCAGAAGAGTCAGGTATTAGACGAAGTTCGAGACAAACAAAAAACAAAGAACCCAAACGATTCGGAGATCCGATAAAACATTCAATCAAAGAAATATCTGAAAACCTTACAGGTAGAGGTCTTCTAAAGGAGGCACTTAGACAATACAGAAACGAACTGAGAGATTTTAAAGATCGGGACGACAGACCATTAGAATCGAAAGTGCGACGACTCGAAAGACATCTATTTATGCGAAAATTCGGATATGCTACCTTGGATGAGGGAGTCGATTGGAACCCGAGTTGGGAAATCGAGCTGGAGGAAAACTGAAAAATACATAATCTAAAATCGTCAATTACCAGAAAAAAAACTTTTCTTTGAACTGAGTAAATTGAACTCTTTAAATAAATTATCCTACTGATGTTGTATAATTTATTTCTTTCACCGTGGGGGGTGTGTCATACCGCTACTGCAGTAGCAGTATTTTTTATACGTATGTACATCTAACCTCTGGTGCTCAATTATTATTTTATGGTATTCTCAAGGTCATACGTAAGTGTTGACACTGAGATTAAGCGAGAGATCAGAGTACTTAACAATGATCTATCTCTCAGTACATAAGAAACCAAGAAAAGAGAAAATCTAAATTCAATATTCAGAATACAGTATTGAATTACAACTTGTTTTCAATTGATATCGCAACGCATATCACATAGAAGATGACACAGTATTTTTTTTTAGAAAAAGAAGATATGAAAAATATTTTTCGATATAAAAATTTTTATAGTTGGCTGTTTGAAGATGTTTGAAGACTGTTTTTTCTAAAAATCAAATTTGCTTAAAGATGTTTAAAGACGGTTTTTTTTTCTAAAAATAAAATTTGTTTCATCATGTCCAGGAAATTAATTTTTAGCATGAAAATTTACGAGTGCTTTAGTGATATGAGCAGTTTTAAGCGATAGCATGGCGGGATTCTGGCTGACAATTTAGCGTTGCTTAGCCTTGGGATTGCCAGGGATTTTATTATCGGGTGTTAGGTCTTTTTCCCGTGAACAACTTAGCTTACAGAATTCGCACGTGAGATGTTGGTGCTTCTTAATAAATTCAAACCTAATGACGGTATCTGCAAATATAGCATGGAGGTAGCGCGCATGATAGGGACGTCAAAGGTGGTTTTTATATAACCCCGGTCCTACTCAAGGCAGGACCATCCCTGGTGTAGGGGGATGTCATTAGTTTCGCCGTAGCTGATTCCCCCTTGAGGCGGCGAATGACACTGGGACTCCTCCAACTCTGACAAATGTGGGATTCGAACGGACTCCTCGTATTCAGACACGGGCTGTTTTCTATTCGCTCCCCCTCACTTTTCGAACTTTCTGTTTTTTACCGTTGTTTTACCTGTTAAATCGCTAAACGCCTGATGTTACCATGTAAAATATTAGGAAAAATTATGTCACATTGTTTTTTGGTCACCATGCCAAGTTTCATTATATTATTCAAAGGTGGAGGAGAAATTATTCGAAAAGAACCAAGAGACGTGTGCCTTACTTTACTCGGCCACGACAAAGGTTCTGGGATCGATTACTTGCAGAAGCCGATTTTTCTCGAAAATTGGAAAATTTTCTTGTTTTTATCGGACTATTGTTCTGCTGCTTATTTTTATCGGCTGTCTTTTCAATATTACGTATTTCTGATGTAGTAATATTTACTTCATTTGAAAACATGTAATTTCCTTTATATTGTAAATTTATCACCTATAATTATGTATAATGTCCACTTATGGTTTTGTAAATTGTTATAAAATATACTAAATTATGATTTTTATTTGCATGAGCAAGTGTGCTGTAATCGTCGAAAGTCTTTTTTCCCGTAGACAACTTTTCTTACGATTTTGTTAGAAGATGAGCTTGCTTTTTTAGTTAACCTTATAACTTTGAGTTTTATCCGAGAAAAATTGCTTTGTCTACCTATTGCTTGTCTGCTTATGTTTTATCGGCTAAATTACGCATCAATTTTTGCAAAAGTTCAAAAATTTAAACTTAATAGTTTAAAGTTTTCGGCCCGACGGTAATCTACCCAATTATTGTCGGCTTAATGAATAGTTAAAGCGTATTAAATGTTGGTATTTTTGTTAACGACTGTTTTTCTGAAGTTTTTCATTTGCTTAATGAAAATTTATTTTTTAGTTTTCTTTTCCGACTTAGTTGTTTCCGTCTTTGTTCGCTAGTTTGCACTGATATGCTTGCGTTGTATCGCAAGTGATTCGGAGCTCCGCTTTGCCCCTGTGTAAATGTTCACAAATCTTATAGGAGGTAAAATTTTAAATTTACCACCAATGATTTTCATTATTTCCTTTTTTTGCCCTAAAAATTTCTTCGGATTTAATGATGCTGAATTATATTAGATTAGTTAGATTGCATCATAATAGGTCATTTAAAATGCGAAGTATAGTCTCTAGCGTTTCTGATTCGGTGCAGGTAGTTTCAACGCTTTTTTTAAAGCTCATGACATTTTTTTTGGCTCAATGGTAATATATTTTGAGACTGCTCGATAAGTTTTGTTCCGATACTAATTTAACGCTGGCGATTTTTCCCTAACATGTTTTTCTCGACCGAATTGAAAATCACTCATAAACATTTTGTAAAAATTTTGATTTGAAAGTTTTGCTCGACATTTTGTGCATATTTTAAATGGCTCTTGGTTGTGTCTTTTAATTGATTATTAATTTTTAAGTGAATATTAGACCTCTTCGTTAAAATCTCTGTTTAGAGATAAGACAAAGCTGCATCAAAAACTTCTTGATTCTCGAAGAAAAAACGGAATAAAATTGTTGCTTTTTTAGACATTTAATTATTTTTCTGAATCTGCAAGAATAGCCGTAGCTGTTGGTCCTTTTTTTACTAGCACAGAATGTTAGGGACATGCAAACATTGCCAAATTGAGAAAAAAAGTTGATTTGTCTTTGAATAAAGTATACATATAAACATATATACATATATGCATATATACACATATACATGTATACAAATATACATATATATACTTCGCGTAAGCAGGCGTTCTTCGAAATTTTGAAACTGAAAATTTTGGTAGGTGTTTTTAGAAAAAAGTTTTGATCAATTAGGGATCCGCATCCCGCATGAACTTGCTTCCATATGTTAGCACATGACCACCTAAAGTTTTTCGTTGCGAATCCTAAAATCGCGAAACAACTGACCCTGGTCATTCTATCAGTAACCAATTAAGTTAGTTCATTCCGCTTGAAATCTGAATCGTTATTTTGAGAACCCCAAAAACGTAAATTCAGTTTCCACTCTTAAAAGTTGACAAAATTCAAAAAATATAATATTTTTACTCAAAACATCGACTATTCTTGTTCAATTCTGTCTTCAATCTTTTTCAATTGTGTAGGCTCGCATGAAGTCTCAGTGACCTGAAGTGCGATCAAAATAAAAAATAGTTTCATCTGAATGCTGAATCAAGAACCGCGCTACAGCAGCGTTTGAGCTAAGAATACCAAATTCTAGCTTGAATTCGTCCTTATTATTGCCTTGAGAGAAATGCTGCTATTCTTCAGATTGGTTTAGTTATGACCGGGGCCGAAGAAATAAGTTGCGAGAAATTCTTCGGAGGGTTGCAGAAAAAGTATACCGTGTTCAGGTTAGATGCTAATTTTTTAAATTGAATTTATGTATTTTGAATAAGTATGCGTTGTTTCAGCAAAGAGCTGTCCTTGAAAACTGAGATAAATTTTTACTTGCCACCTAAAGCAGTTGCAGGCGGAAAATGCCCAGTCATATACTACATAAGCGGTGAATAATTATGATTACTTTGTGAGCTCTAAAAATTTGATGTTTTCAGGTTAAGACACTATAAAGACCTATTGCCAAAACTTTTGAAGAAATGAAGAAAAGCAACAGGCTAAATTTGATTTTACCACTCAAAATTGGTATATATTGGCGCGTTCAGGAAAACTTAAGGTTCGGTTGGCCGAAAATGGATGGCGTAAAATAGTGCATAAGGGGCCGTAACGCGTCTAGGAAATCGAATCACTGAGGTGGGAGAATGGTGCATGAGGGATTCGACCGCCTCGTTACCCTAACCCCTGTGCGCCTAAATTGGCCAGATATTTTTAACCTATCTTTACTTTAAGTTTTCAACTACAGAGTGATCCAAAACCTGTGGACGATGTTTTTCGAAGAATACGCCATACTGAGTAGGCAAAAAAGCAAATTTACGCTAACAGATATTCGACGCGAATGGGAACCTTTCAGAGACAGGCTTTTGGGACAGGTTACCGGCAGAGGTGGTCTTTAAAGTTTTGCAATGCTAATTCTCAGTCTTTTAAGAATTCTCAGTGTTTTAAGCACAAAAGTTGAAAATTTTTGTCTTATGGCCACACGAGATCAAATTTGATCAGCTACAGCTTCAGTGCATGAACGCATAATTAAATTTCAATAAAAAAAAATGGCGGGAAACATGTCCAGCACCTTAAAGTGATTATTTTTTATGAGTTATCAAATTTCCACACCTCTTCTATAACGTGTTAAATTTTTACGGGTCTACGTCATATTAGTTAGAAATGACAGCCATTTCAAAAGTTCCATAGGTTTTGGATCAGCCTGTAATTTTCCTCCAAAAGTAGTATTCATTAAAAAAGCATTTGAAAGTCTCCTCTCAGTCTTCCTTCCGCTCAAAATGTTCGAAAACTTAATAATCCGACCATTGAAAATGGGAAGGAACTTAGTATTCAGGTGTTTTAGTTTCCTTTTTCCACGCATAATCAGGTAACACAAATAATCATCGGTCTGAATTGAGTGATACATCATAATCAAGCCCTTTCAGTCGTGATTTAAACACATTTAAAAATTTCCAATAATATTGCTCCAATCGATAAAAATTTCCAATCGATCAAAACGGTTTGAAATTTTCGGTTTTAGTCTATTTTGAGCGAGAAAAGCGAACGAGCAGGCTTGTTTATGCATAATTTAAGCTGTTTAAAATAAATTGGTTTTGCTTAATTTCAGTTTTACTCGAGTGAAGTTAGTTTTTGGAGTTTTTCAACGCCATTTTGGGAATTCGAAAAAGTTGAAAAAATTCGCAAAAAATGAAAAAACTTCTGAATTTTTCTATGTTCTTTTTCTAATCACTTTTCTTCAAAAATTGTTGTCCAATTTACCTATTTTACTATAACTGTCTAATTTCTAGTTTTTTGTTCAGATCCTTTCATCACACCACACAGAAATAACTACCCTATCTTGAAAAAAGATTTTTTGTGTATTTTTCAAAGACTATGGTGGGAACATTCTGTGCTTGTTGCAAAGTAAGCGGATATCCTTGTTTTCGTTTGTGGAAAATTAACTGAGGTTTAGAACCTTCAGTTCTAGTTTGACAACAAGTCTTTTTCTGTTGATAGTTTCATTGTATCCATAAATTTATCGTTTCATTGATAGCTTTTGTTTATCGTAAAAGTTATTAATCGCTTTATCTCGTGGCAAGGAATGACATGCGATGTCGATATTCATGTGCAGAGGGCGGGATACCAGAGATATGCTTCGGAACTGAATCTAATCATAGTCAGTCCCGATACGAGTCCAAGAGGGGCGGGAGTGGATGGAGAGGAGGGCGAGAGGAATCTGGGAACGGGCGCTGGGTTTTACTTGGACGCCACTGAAGAGAAGTGGAAGAAACACTACAGAATGTATTCATACGTTGTCGAGGAGGTGAGAATCATTTTTTTCATTATTCTATTCAGAAGGTCCGTTTTTTTCTAAGACACATAATATATTCCATTTGCTATATCTATTTTTGCATTAAAAATTTGTAAAGCAGCATAAAATGATCAGCTTCTCTTATAAACTCAAAAAAAAACTCTTTTTTGAGTTTTTCCTTAATATTGTTTCTTTTTCAAGTCCATCCAATATTTATTTCATTGTGTGGTCTCGAATTTTAGAGAAAAATTTATATGGTTTGCTTTCTTTTTATAGTTACCAATTTTCGTTTAATCATTTTTGTAAACCTTTTGTTTTTGTCCGATCGAAATTACTTTTGTTTCGAAATGAAAATAAGTAATAATTACCGGCTTCGTAATTTTTAAAATTAACGTGTTTTTGTTTGTTTTTTCTTAGTTGTGTTTTTTGTTATATTAGGTTTTTTGGGATTTAAAATTTTGAAAATGTAGTTACCTGATTTTGTTCAACTTTTCATTGCTAGGTCTTCATTTTGTGCAATTTACAAATTGTTTGATTGTTCGTCTTCTGAGCAGTTGATGCATTTCAGCCTAGTGTAAAATGGTCGTCTGGAATCATACTGAATCATCTTGCTTGTTTATTTTTCTTCGAATGTTTGTTGCCTCAATGTTGCAACGCGCGATAGTTTTCTTCATTTTTCCCTATCATGTACACCTTGCAGCATCGAAAATGGGTATTGTAAAACGGGCACATGAACTTTTTCCTGTAAAACACTTTGCTAACAGAATTCGTACGTGAAATGTTACGTGCTGTATAATATGTTCAATTTCAATTACGGCTTCTACGCATCAAGCCCGTAAAATTTTGGTTGATGTTTTTTGCAACATTGTATTTCAACATGTTTCTATTCAGTGGCTTTCGTCTTAAGAATTTCTGTGTTGCAGGCTGTGTCGACAAAAAAAACGAGGTTCTAGAGCATTTTTATTGACGGTTTTAACCGATAAATTCCTTTTTTGGTGCGCGCTCCCTCTTAATTGGTATTAGTCAGCCAAACATGGCTGTCGTATAATAGTATCAAACGGAGGACCCTTGAGAAAAATATAGCAAACTGAATTGAGGAGGGCCCCCTCGGCAGGCTATAGCTCGCATAGTAGAACATAATGCTTTTTCTGTTTGGATATTCATTCGTTGCAAAACAATTCAGAGCCGACCTCAAAGTTTCAATTTAACTGATATTAACTGGTATTTTCTTTAGTTGCCCGAGATAGTGAAAGCGGCTATTCCACAGGCTGACCTCGACAAAGTAGGCATCATTGGACACAGTATGGGAGGCCATGGAGCACTCTCTATTTATTTGAAAAACCCCGACAAATACAAAGTTAGTTTTGTTATTGTTCAGAACTGCCCCTAGTAGCGGGAAGGAGCTGTGGTTTAGGTAGGGCTTCAGTCAAGAAAATTTAGGCACTGAATTTTTGCTATAGAAACTCAGTTAACGGCGCGGGAATGGATGAGGCAGTGGCTTACAATGAAAACCATTAAAGTTTGTTTTCAAACTGCTTGTTGTACGGGCAATAATTCGACACACGGATCGCCAATTCTTGTGCAATTTGCACAAAACTATTTAAAAATACTCAGTAATTTAAGATAAACAGTTAGTTAATTAAAACATCAAAATTGCCTCTGAAATTCGGTTTAACCTGCAAAAATCACCTTGTCTTTCGAGTCAACTATTATTTGAAGGTAACGACAAATGCTCTGTGAATGTAAGGTTTAAGCAAGTTTTACTGTTGACAATTGTTAACAAAATGCGTTAAGGTCGACGTCTACCCGAAAAGCATGCATATTCTAGAAGTTTCTTTTTTTTTGTAGTCTGGTTTGAACTTGCGATCTTTTTTAGGTCAACGCCGAATGTCCAAACAGATTGTATTGCCGTCTTTACTTTCTAGATATGAATCACTAACGCCAAATCTTTCCCAACATAACTCAAACAGAAAATTTTGATCCAGACTTTTAAATAGAGCGTGTCGATATATATTCTTTTGTTCAATAAAGGCTCAGGGTCGGCAATCTGAAGGTGGTTCAAAATCGTTAACTTTCTTTCGCTTGGGTGATCTCAAACTAACCATCAAGGTAGTTAGAGCAAATGAAGCAAATTAATAAGATAAGAAAAAATTATTGAGAACAACCGAGTGGTGTATGCTGATTTCTTTAATTATACTCATTGCTCAGTTTGAGTGATACGACGGACTCTCCTCTCACACGTGCTTCAACTATGGTCAGCTCTATGACACTTCAAGGGTACAGAAGGGAAGCTACAATGGGATAGAGCCCTATTCTCGATGTGTTTAAAGATTTATCGAAACAAACTAAAAAGTTTCAAGGTTTATTGGTTGAAGGCTTCATTTTTTTTTAAAAAAGGCTTGCGATTTTATCCAATCTACCAAAACAACTACATTGGTTCAACCCTTTGATAGCTACCGTCCGGTTAATTTATTTCGTTGGACTCATCAAGCCAGCAAAGCAAAATTAAATGTAAATAAGTGATAGATAGTTAATTAAATAACTAAAGCAATGGTTAAATAAATAACTATCTATAAAAATTTTGAAGAGCTCAAGTTACTTTTTGTAACGATACACTCTCTTAATTTAGATCGGTAAAAACCGTAATGTTTCTCCGGGAAGCATGCTTTTGATAAATAATTGCTGAATACGGCCGGTTCTGTTCTGCATAAAATGTTTTTAGGAACCAAAACTAAGAAGATAGTTTAAACATGGCGAGATAGGTTTTTGATATAACATGTAATTTTTGAACAATTAAGAAGCCTATATTTGTTCAAGTTTTTGTGAGATGAATTTAGTAAGTTGATTTTAAAGAGTCAGTTGGTGCGAGCGAAATAAATTTTGTTTTCATGTTTCGGTTATTTGAATAGCTTGCAACAAGAAGCCAAATTTTTGCTTAGCGTTCAAAGCCATCAAAAACAACTTGAAATGTGCTAAAGTTTTTTTTGTTCGAAGTTTGTGAGTTTATAGCTAATCAAGTCATGTTTTTCAAGATTCCGCATGATTTTTTTGCTTCAAAAAGTAAAGCAATTACTCAATAATTTAAATTCTAATTTAAATTCTAATTAATTTCAGCAATTTTATGGCAAGATAGCTTAGTTTAACTTTTGAATGAAACATTTTACGCCTTCAAAAACAACTGAGTTGGTTCAAAGTTTTATCGCTTGAATAATTTGCTTTCAAAAACTATCCCATTTAATTGAATTGCTTCATTTTCCTGTGGTTGAATGCTTGCTTAAAGGTTCTTAGTAATTTACTGCTTACTTCAGGCATTTGGAACATCTCGAACCTTTGCTTTTTTATCGAAATTACTTCAAATATGTAAAAGTTTTTTTTTGCGTATCAGTTGTTCTACAAAACCATTCAGGTCAGCTGACAACTTAAAACATTTCAGGTACAAAGCTGCGTATTTGCCTCAGAAATTTTAAAGTTTTGGCACGCCGTTTTAGGCGTTCAGGACAAATTGAAGGTTGAAGTTTCATCGCTCGACAAGCTTGCTTGAAACTGTTTTTTTTTGCGAACAAGTTCAAGCCATCAAAGCAACTTTAAAACTTTCAATGTCTCATGGCGTGAATGTTTGCTGAAAAAAATCTTTGTTTATTGTGAGTTTTTGCTTGCTATGCAAACAGCTTGACAAATCCAAGTTTCCAATGCTTCAATTGAATGCTTCAAAAATGGAACTTTTTGCGAACCTCTTTGAGCCATTGAATTAAATTGAAATCAACTCACTGTTGGCTCTCTGATATAAATCAAGTCGAAAATTTCATAGGTAACCGGAATTGCTAGTATTTTTTGATAACAAACGGAAACGGAATTGCTAGCGATTTGATAAAAAACAATGTGTATCATTTTTTCTGTGTGCGCGGCAGAAAATTTTGGCTAGATTACGTTTTTGAAATGTTTATTCTTTACCCCAACCGACTTTTACGTTAAATTTAAAACCGCTATTACACATCAACGCTTGTGTTACGAGTTGGTCAATCAATTTGCAATTTCGGTTCATATTTTGGGATGTTATCTTGAGTTTTCACCGACTTTTTTTTGTGTTTTCTTGGTTTTTGAACTCATTTTTGATGTTCTTTTCTTTCAAACAAAGTCGAGCATTTTTGCGTTTAGTCTTATGTCTTCGGTTTGTGCACAATTCCGTTCCGCGTCGACAAATTGAAATAATAACAAGCATAGTTGGTTGCTGTGCATGTAGTACAGAATGTTCCGACCACATTCTCAGAAAAAAAGTTTTGTGTGATGATGCAACTATACGAACGCTTAGAAACTATGTGAGTTGGGCATAAATGGCTCCAATTGTCTTCAAAAAATAAGTTAATAAAAAACACGAAAACATTTTAAAAAATTTTTGCACTAAATATTCTTTATAAATTTTTTTTGCAGAGAAGAGCTGATGAAGCTTCTAAACTAGTTTTACTTTCAGTAAAATCAAGTTTTCAGACGTAATTGCTAAATTGCATATGTAACAAATTTTACTCGAATGCTTAATTCGTTCGAAATTAGACGAAAAATCAGAAATTTCAAACCAGTTTTTCTCGACACTAGAAACATTTTTTGGGAATTTTTATAAAAAATGTTTGAATCACGACTGATAAGATTTTTTAATGATATATCATTCACGGAATTATCGCAACAACAAGGGCTATATCTGCTTAATCAGTGTTCAATAGCTTCTGTTTTCACGGTTTGTGCAGAAAAATTTTATGGAGAAACGGTCGAGGCAAGTGGTTTTTAATCAAGAGGCCGACAGTTGGAACCCAATAATCGGAATCCGGTTTTTCGGGTGCTTACTTTCTTTGGGCTTTTTTCCTAATTTTTAGAAATCTTTTAATTGTGGTTTCTGCTATTCGCTGAAGATCTATGAAAGGTTATCCAACCTGTCTAGGTATAGCCCGTTTCTCTGTTCCCCACATTCCAGACAGATGTTTTTGTGAGAGAATTCAAGGCCGTTTTTTATCTAGAATTTTTATGTGGTACCACTATTGCAGTTAAATTGGGTCAGGTTGTGATAGACCTGAAGCTAGAAACCAAGTGAAAGCTCGTCCTCTCAAAACAGCGGAACTAGAGGGGCGGACAATCCGCCCCTGTCCTAACACACTATCATTGCCATGGCAAGGAATCGAGTACACGATCTGACTATTTAAAATGAACGCTTATGCCTCTTTTTTAAAATGTTTTTTGACTTGAGCGTGTAGACAGTTTTTCAGGCTTTGAGAGTAATCTATAACAATTATCGAAAAGTTAATAAAATTATCAAAGTATTGAAGAATAAATTTTTCAGAGTTGTTCAGTACTAGCTCCAATATTGAACCCAATCAACTCCCCACTTTGTCAGAAGCCATTCACGAGCTACCTTGGATCCGACAAAAGCACATGGGGACAATACGACTGCTCGGAGATTCTGAAAAACATCTCTGAAGAATCTTTTAAATTGCTGCGGCCGATTCTGATTGATATGGGAACTATGGACAAATATTTGATTGGTGGTGAATTGTTGCCTGAGCCATTCTTAGAAATAGCAAAGAAAAGAGGCCTGGATTTGAATTATAGAATGCAGGATGGTTATTACCATGCGTATGGACTTGTGAGCACTTTCATGGGAGAACACTTGGAGCATCATGCAAACCTACTGAGTTCAATATAATCATGAGCATCTGCTAGTCTGAAAACTATATTAATGTACATTTGTTGCATATCTGATTCATTTTGATTATTTCATGCTGTCATACAAATCAGTTAATTCTCATGGGACTAAATACATAGGAAGGAACCGTGATCGATAACTTGATTTTTCAGATTGATTTGTGTGTTGTGATTATGGCTGAGGAAACAAGCGTGGAAAAATATTTCGGAGGACTACAGAAAACATTCTGTGCTGAAAGGTTAGTATCACAATGTAACTTCAATGTTGAGCAATAAAGAGCTCAAACTTCTGTTCCTCCTGCTCATAACTTATATGTATAATTGCAAAACAAGAACCGATCACGGATCTACTTAACAATCCCCCCTATGGTATGGTGGGTATTCACAAGTACCAAAACGATGAATCAGTCCTATTTGAATCAAAATAAAAAATCATTTGCGTTAGTACCAAAAATATTCAATTGGCCAAAGACAACTGAGCCGACTACCTTAAGCTCTTGATTTAAGGTTGCCGGTGGGCGCGCGTCGCTGCTTCGCGGCGATAACCGGCTCTTATTTTCGTATAGAGTCCTACCCTCTGTTGACAAGCTCGCAACACGTTGGCGCGACTGCGGCAGTCACTATTCTGCTGTTTACTTTTTTCTGTTTGAACAGTAGAAAATTAAGGTAATAATTCGATGGTTCACAATTCGACCAATGAGAAATTGAGTTGAATATTTTTGGTACAAATGGGACCGATTTTTCATTTCGGTACAAATAAACCTTGGTACAAATGTGACTTCACCCTATGGTATCTACTACGAATTTGGTACTAGTTCACTTGTTTGATCCCTCAAAAATGCCGTAGTTCCTAATGAAAACCGAGGTACAGTATGTGGCTAATTCTAACAGTTAGCATTTTTATTTCTCTATATTGCTTTCAAAACGGGACTAGTAAGTCTAGCGGGTACGAATCCGGTTACCAACCCCAAGGTATAGGTTCAAATCCCGTGCTGGTTCTTCTTTTTAGAAAATTGGCGGGACCAATCATCTAAACTAGTTCTGTCATGGGACCAAAGAAGTAAACTAGTACCAAGAATTTCCACCCCTATAAATAAAAACAGTAAAAACTACTAGAGCGTTTTATTGAGAATTCTAATTTTGCTGCATTCTGATTGGTCGAGAATTCGACGAACTGAATTTACTTAACAATCTCTCCCTTTCTTTGAAAGAGGGGATTTTTAAGTAGATCCCCGATGCCTCTAAGGTGTGACTGGATGATTTTTTTAATATGGGCGTTTCATGAAAAATAAATTTTTAGTTGATGTTGATTTCCTAGTTACTGAAGTTTTAAATTTTGAATGCAAATCATGCACTTTTCGTATGGTGCCGGTGTTTTAAATATTGTTGGTTTTGTTTCAGCCAAGAGCTATCTGGAAAAACTATTTTCGGTGTCTATTTGCCCCCTAAAGCAATAGCTGGCGAGAAGTGCCCAGTTGTGTACTACCTTAGTGGTTAGTAAAATTGAAGGGTCTCATGCACTAAACGTCCCTAAATAAGTATTTCTACATCTTGATCTTAAGTCAATATATGGTTCAATCTGATTGGCTCATTTGCCAATCAAATACAAACAACATGGTCCAGCATCTAAATTGAAATTTAAAGCAGATAATAAAGCTATTGGCCGAAATGACCGAAAGGATAGAAATTTTTTCGCGTTGAAACTATTTTACTGAACTTTTTTTTTGGTATAATTTCACAAAAAAAAAACAAGAAATTAATTTTATTATTTGACTAAGATTCAGATTATCAGGTAACTCGGCTGATATTTTTTTTCTGCTGGAGCAGTTGATTGACATGCCTGACCATGTTGCTTGAATTTGATTGGCTAATATTAGCCAATCAAATTGTGCCGCTTTAAGTTAAGCAAAAAGATAGAAAGATTTTGATTTTGGGCCGTTTTTTGCATAAGACCCAAATTGAAATAGTGCTTTGCACGGTAAATTCGGGTCACAAACAATTGAAATGCCGTGAACTTTATCTTGACCAACGCTAAAGTTTTTTGTCATCATTATTGCCATTATATGATTACATTGAGGCGGAGAGCTTCGGTACATGTTCTCAAAAAACTTTTTCAGTTGCATACTTTTTTGACAAAAAGGTTATTTGTGTCTTCAAAAGCTATTTCCATTGGCCTGAAAAATTTTCTAAGGCTTCCTTCTCTACTAGTGAATCAGCTCTATCGATTCTATCTTATGGGAAAGAGGTGTCTAAAATCGGTCATGTTTACACTTGCGAAGCTAGTGTATTAGTACGATCCTTCTTTTTTTTCCAATCTAATTCGCAAATATTGGTGCCACTTTTCGTGCAGCTGTACAGCTTTTTCATAGCATGTGCTTTTACATTCGAATACTAAAAGTTAACACAGTTGATGCATTTTTAATTCACCAAATGAACCAAAAAAGTGATTTGTATGAATATTTGTAAAAATAAGATATGTAAGTGATTTATCAGAAATTTTCCAACTCAACATGTATCGCAACTTTTTGAAATGCATAATTTATACATAATGTGGCTTTATGTTTGCGATTTGTTACATGCAAAGTTAGTGTGGATACATTCAGTTTGCTATATTCCAAATTATTAATTGCAAAATTGAGTCTATTTGTATTTGGTGCTGAATCGCATTGGCAATTTGTTAGCATATGTAGCTACTTTATTCGCGACTAATGTTTGTCGGTTGTTAAGCTTGCGTAGTTGAGTGGATAGTGCTTGAGACTCAAAATCTCTTGATTGCAGTAGGTCGGAGATTCGATTCCTACACGTTGCCGAGTTTTTTCTAATTCGAGGCGCTTTTCTACTTTTTTTTAATTCACTAGATAGAGCTGCTTTTTGGTGGTGTTCTCGCAAGTGTTTGCGAAGCACAGCTTCGCCTCTGTGTAATTTTAGTGAGTAGGATGTAAGAGTTAGATTTACTGTTGCGTCGGAATCTGGGAGTACTGGTTTGTAATATTCAGTTGGTGTGCCTGTCTATACATTGACCTACATACATGTTAGTTACAATCAAATTATTGTTAGTTACTTCAGCTTAATTGATAATAGTTGATTCAATATTGTAGGTTTGACCTGCACAGAAGCGAATTTTATTCAAAAGTCTGGCTTCCAGAAATATGCATCTGAGCTGGGCTTGATAGTTGTGAACCCTGACACCAGTCCCAGAGGAGCCGGGGTAGACGGTGAGGATGAGTCATACGATTTAGGCTCTGGAGCCGGGTTCTATCTGGATGCGACTGAAGAGAAGTGGAAAAAACACTACAGAATGTACTCATACGTGACCAAAGAAGTCAGTTTTGGAAGATACGATTTTTGTATCAACATTTGTAAATAATTTTTGTTGAATCCTTAACTCTGTGAACATTTCGCTTATGGCTTTGAGCCAATGTAGTAGCAGGTGAATATGTCAAATAAAGCAGTACATAGCTTTAGTTTTACTACGTGCAGCATCAACAATTCTTTGCTTATTTTAGTTGCCCGAGATTGTAGCAGCAACTATTCCGCAGGCGGATATCAGTCGTGCGGGTGTCTTTGGACACAGCATGGGAGGCCATGGCGCTCTGACCATCTATTTGAAAAATCCCGACAAATACAGGGTATGCTTGACAACTTGAAGTTTTTAACACCACGCACCATAAGAAAATTTGACATTGAAAATGAGTTAATGCCAGCAAACTACCAGCCTAAGGGCAATTATTCTTTCATCACGGCTCGCCTTTAAAGTGCAACTGGGGCGGCAGGAGAAACAAAAGCGTTTTTGTTCATGCTAACTGAGAAACTAAACTGTATAAATTCTGTCATTTTAGAGTTGTTCTGCTTTTGCCCCGATTTGCAACCCAATCAACTGCCCATGGGGACAGAAAGCACTGCCGAGTTACCTAGGGTTGGACAAAAGTACCTGGGGACAGTACGATGCCTGTGAACTTATTAAAACTATGTCAGATGAAAAGCAAAAACTGTTGAACCCAATCTTGATAGACCAAGGTTCTGCTGACAATTTTTTGACCGGAGGTCAATTATTGCCTGAAAATTTGGTATCTGCAGCGAAGGAAAAAGGCGTGAAGGTTGATTATAGATTGCAAGAAGGCTATGGACACGCTTACTCGTTTGTTAGTACCTTTACTGGAGATCATTTGAAGCATCACGCTGACCTGCTCAGATGAACACCCTATGGAGCTGAAGGAAATTATCCATTGAACTGGACTTTTCAAACTACTTTATCAAAAACATTTATACATTTTTCTTAAGATATTATACGAATAAGTTAAACTTATAAGCGAGAGCAAGTGTGCATTTTTATTGAGACGTTATGTGGATAAGTTAAACTTATAAGCGAGAGCAAGTGTGCATCTTTATTGAGACATTATGTGGATAAGTTAAACTTATAAGCGAGAGCAAGTGTGCATCTTTATTGAGACATTATGTGGATAAGTTAAACTTATAAGCGAGAGCAAGTGTCCAAAAACATTTATACGTTTTTCTTAAGATATTACGTGGATAAGTTAAACTTATAAGCCAGAGCAATCGGGAACTAGACTTTTCTCTGTTAACAACCCAGTAAGTATACTCATAAGAAATTGATCTTGTTTTACTATAAAACCTCTATAATTTTCAGGGCCTTCTGACTTGTCTAAGATAAATCAAACGCCTTTTGGTCAATACATTTGCGAAGCAAAGTCTATTAGTACGACCTTTCTTTTTTTCCAACCTAAGTCGCAAAAAATTGGTGCAACTTTTGGGGCACCTTTACAGCTTTTTGATAGAATGCGCTTTGACATTCGAATACTAATAAGTTTACACAGTTGATGCGTTTCAAAATCATTAAATGAACCGAAAAAGCTATTTGTTTCAACCAACATAACTGTAATTACACAAGCAAAGCTTATTTTATAGCATGAACTCTCTTTTTCCCAACCTAAATCGTAAATATTGTTGCGACGCAAATATTGTTGCGACAAAATGTGTTCGTTTTGATCAATAGCCAGCTATTAAGTACAGCGAATGCTAAGGATACTAACACGACTATTATTATATTTCAAATAGCACTTTAGCTTCAAGGAATCATGGATTTGTAGCGTAGAGGTAGGGAAGGAGACTCAAAACAAAAAAAGACGGTTCAAACCTCTGCAGGGTCTGATGTTTTTAATGAATTTTTTCGTATACTAGTTAAAATGTGTCCGCTCTATAAATTGAGGCTTGTTAGTTTTTTTTTCAAATTGACTGTGTTGTTAATGCGTCGTAATTGGCTTGTGTCAATCAGCAATTATGTAGGCTCATAATTGGCGTGCGTCTTTTAAGAAATTTTGAAGACTCAAAGTCTTACTCATTCAGTTTTTCTCAGTAGCGTTATCGGCCATATCTTTGATTGCGTATGCGAGTGCAATTTAGCCTTTGTGTTAAAACTCAATTTCAGAATTTTTTAAACTTAATATATCTCGCAATTTTTCGAAATGCGTAACTTTTACAGGCTCGTTTCCAGTTCCCCACTCCTTTTATTTTTTTCTGAAAGTCTTCTTAAAATGACTTTTGACGTTATAAACGCAATAAAACGTGTCAGCGTGTTCAGGTGAAGAATTTTCTACAACATTTCTCAGTGTGCAACTTGTAGTGTGAACTATTTTCGAACATTTTTTTTAAATTTTACGAGGGGGATGGGAAACTGGAAAAAAGGCTTTATGCTTTCCGATTTGTTACATGCAAAGTTAGTGTGTATGCCTTCATTTAGTTATATTCCAAATTATTCATTGCAAAATTGTGTCATTTGTATTGGGTGCTCCTATGCTGCATTGAATTGCCAATTTATTAGCATATGTAGCTTCGCCTCTGTAATGTCTTAATTTCGAGTCTCAGCTCTTTTTGCCATGTATGGAAATAGAATTTTCTGCGCCAGACTATCGTTTTTCGTGTCAAACTATCGTTCGTCTGCTTATTGTGTCAAATTTCTGTTTTTCTGCTTTTTGTGTCGGCCTGTCTTTTTTCTTGTCGTTAATTTTGTCGGCTTACGTTATAAGAAATAATATATTTTGTTCGAAGCAACACATTCCTCCTGATTCAAGCAAATTCATCCATAACTGCACTTGCGATGGCTTTTTTCTCGTAAGCAACTTGCCTTACAGATATCATTTTTGGAGTTCGAGACCCGGCCGGACCTAACTGTTTTGCCATGTATGAGCGTATGCATACCTTTTTTCTGGAACCTTTTTTTTTATCTAGCAGCTCCCTTTAGACGTTTGTCTCTGAGAACATTTTGTTTTTGACTCAACTGGCGTTCAACCGAATATTGTTGACCTAGTCACTCCTGGGAATTTGGTTTTGAATGCTTGTATAATGGCCGCGATTGTGTTCATTGACATGTCTCCCTCCTTTAAAATGATTTCCTCAGCTTAGTAATTTCCCTCTCTTTTTTGATGCAAAGCGCTGTATAATTTGTAAGTTTTCTGTCATATTTTCTTTTTGGCTCAAGTGTCGTATACCCACGAAATGTCTGCCCATTAACTGCATCGAGATAAATTTCGAAAATTACTCATTGTTGTCGAATGTGTTTTTTGTTATACACTAATGAAATTTAAAATCATGCAATGGAAACGTAAAATTTCGGTGAATCTAGTTTTTTAAATCAATTTCTAGTCATAGTTGCCTCCATTTCACGTTTTGTTTGATGTCTTGCACTGCTAATTTTGTGCTGTATCGCAGGTGTTATGAAGCTCTGTTACGCTTTTGTGTCCACCTTATCTTCTATGGAAAAAACTAAAGTCGAATAATGAGGGCGACAAGGACCGAATTATCCACGAATAAATTTTTGAAGTTGGAAAAATTCAAAAAACCAATCATTAAATGCCGGTAATGTTTATCAATAATTGCAGGTGAATTTTTTTCAAGATCAGATTTAATGGTCGAAGAAACTAACTTGTTTTTGTACGGTCATATTATTTTGCCTACTGGTATTATTAATGTATCCGATTGCTTAGAAAGCAGATGAAAATACTTCATTTTTGATATTGATTCAAGAGAACAAATTATTTTGTATCAAGTATTTTTTTGAGAGCAGAAAAAATTAAAACTAGCTCGAAAGAAGATGCAAATTTTCTCAAATCATACTAAGTGTATGTAAAAGAATCAATTTTAAAATGAGCAAACCAGAAATGAATAGCCGGTCGCTGGGCAAGCAGCAGTGAAGGTTCGACCAAACTCATAAAACGTACAAACGTGATCAAAACAGTGCTGAAATATAACAGTGCTGAAATATCTAGACAACTAGCACATTTTGACTATCAGAATATCGTAGCGTCTATCGAGAGAATTGAAAAATTTCACTATGAAGGTCATTAATGTTACATTAAATTATTACTAGTTAATTGCAGTAATAAACGTAACTGTTTAAGCACGCAAAATGAAGCGCGGAAGATGAAACATAACATAGCCAAGCAAGGTGTAGTACACATTAAGGCCTTTTAGTCTTGATTTGACTGCAATTAAAAAAAGCTCTATGGTAAATAGTACAACCAAATTACAATGCAACCGGACATTACGTTAAAAAAATGAGCCGGTAAAATTTCGTGCAATTAGGGGGTTGAAAACACGGATGTACTTGAGAGGGTACAGATATTCAAGTCTCGAAGTTTTAGCTCAAAAACCTGATGGAAATAGTTTGGAAAATTGTTTTCAATAGTTAGCGAAACTCTTGTGATGTTTGCTTACCAAAATGTTTTCATTATATTTCTATCTATTTTCTCTTAAAAACAAACAAACATCGCAATTATAATAGTTAAGTTTTTTCAAATTTTTTGTGTTCGGAAAAAGTGTTGAAAAAGCTGCCAAAACAGTTGAAATAGTACAAAGAATTAGTAAGTCAATTTTCATAAATGATTTTTCATTTGTTTCTCAGATACGGTTTTCCAACTAAAATAAATTAATGGGCAAACTGTAATTTTCCCAAGTCGTAATCTATGAAATAAATTGAGCAACATATTCAAAAAAATTAAAACGTTTGTTTTGACATTACGCAAATAGCTGTCATACTGCTACTGCAATAGCAGTAATTGATTTGTGTACTACCAACCTGCGGTGTTATAGTTATTAACTCTATGGTGTACTCAAGGTCACAGTGTGTTGTGACATTGAAACTTAGTTGAGAGTTCAGAGTTTTCAATTCTGACTTATCTCTCAGTAACTAATCAAAAGAGAAAACAAAATTCAATATCTCAGAATACATTATTGAATTTTAATTAGTTTTCACACAATACCGCATAGGATATCACATGGCGCAGCCAGCAGGATTCGCAGCTCAAGACAATCGGACGGATATGGGAATACCCGTATTTAGGGCGTCAGCGAATTTAGACCCTCCGTGGCAATTTAAAATCTGGTTTGAACAATTTCTAATGGCAGTAACTGTTGAAGAAAACGTAAATCCAGAGATTATATTAGAAGAACCAATAGATATACTAGAAGAACCACCTCCTCGACCAGAAACACCATGAGATGGAGAGACTGAAGATGCGACGACTGCTAGGAATCTTAGAGACAAGTTAGCAAGGGATAGAGTGTTGTTGGAGAACGAAGAAAGAAGGACAAGATGTCCACGAGTCGGACACAACGTTTTCTATAACGAAGTACAAAAGAAACTGATGTCCAGATTATTTCATTCGTTGGGTACAGAGGGAAAGAAACGATTTCTACAAAAGAACCCGCGTGCTGAAATATCGAAAATGTCGTTCAAGGAAATCACTGAATTTGCAGAAGTTTCGTTTCAAAAGGTAAAATGTGTAACATATGAAAGATATAAACTGTTTACACGAATGCAAGAATCCGGGGAATCTCTGGAGGCATTTCACGCAGCACTAACTGCGCAAGCAGCTCGATCTGAATTGGGAACACTGGAAAGTGAGATAGTCCGTGATTTATTCATTTCGAAAATGAAAAACATGACATTAAGGGACACGTTGACATTCGAAACTCTAGATCCTTAAGAGGTCCTGAAAAGGGCGATAAAATTCGAACACAGCAAATTAACCACAATGGCATTTCAAAAGAAGAATGCTGCGGCTACAGGAGGAACGAGTAACAACTACACTTCGGGAGTGAGGATAAAACAAGAATCTGTAATGGCAGTTAGAAATTTGTCAGGAACAACAAAGAATCAAAACAGAAGGGAAACAAATAAAATACAAATTAATAACCAGAACCCCAACACGAAAACGAAACCATGTAACAGATGTGGAAGGACGTTTGATCAGGGACATTTGAAAAATTGTTCAGCGATGGGAAAAACTTGTAAGAATT